CACTATTCCCGTGGAGACCCGAGCCCACGTTAATATAGGAGAAAAATTAAAAAAATACATCCTCGAGTTCCGTGCAATCATAATCTCACGGCTGGTTTTATCCATCAGTTTTAATCACACACCGCGGTGTCTGTCGGTATAAAATTCAAAACCCACAAAAAAAAAAAAAAAAAAGGAAAAATAATAATGTACTACCACTAGTAGTACAATGATATCCGATCTCTAAACTTCTGAGTAATTGACATTTGAGACCCTAACCTTAGAAAGCTAACAATTGAATACCTATGCTTTCCATTTTCTATCAACGGAAAGGATGTTGAGCTTTTATATGTATTTTTAGAGGAGAAAATTTGTTTCTTTTTAACTGTCATTTTAAGAAATTAATGTTTCATTAAGTTTTTTTTTTTTTTTCTAAATTTACACCCTCACTAACTCATAGCTCCAAAATATTTTAGTTTGAGGGATTTAATTGAGAAAAGAATAGAAAACTAAAATGACACTCTATTTTAACCTTATTTAACCCAAACATCAAGAGGAAATAAATGCGTTTATTAATTTTAGCTTAAAAAGATAGATAATTATAGGAAAAGATGGGGTATTACCAACAATCAAATCCCACATTAAACTCTTTGAACTCTAATTTTCACATTGTTTTTATTGATTATCTTCTTTATGTTATCAATCAACAAACATTATGTGGCAATATCCTGATCCAACCTGGAAGCAAAAAAAAGGGTTGGTGATGATGTCACTATTTGTAACATTTGAATACTTAAATTTTTTTCTTTTCATCCCAACTCCAATGGTTGTATTTATTATATAATTTTTAAAGAAATTATTATCTTGAAAATTATTGTCTACACGTTAACCCAAAGAATTGCTATAAAATGCTCTACTAAATCCCCTATTTTTCTAGGAATGTACATATTTTTTAAGTTTAAACATCTTTAAAATACCTAACTTTTAAAAAGTGAAAAGATTAATTGACTAAATACTCAATTAAACTTTTAAAAGATAATTAAATAATGATTTTCAAAACGACAATTTTTCCCAAAAAAACTAGAGACCAAATGAGCCCTAAAAAAAAGGCTAATGCTTATCTATTGCAATAACCTTAGACCTGATTTTACTAATAATTGCAGTAAACAATTTAAGTGTTGGTTAGTGCAATAGGCAGTAAAAGTTAATGACATAATTGTTACTAAATTGAAGGATAGAGATCTAATTGTCACATTTTAAAAAATTCAGGGAACTCGTATGAAATTCACCCAACAGAAAAAGCATTAGATAAAATAGGGGGAAGACACAGAACGCCCAAATGAAAAAGCGAAAAGCTGATGGGTCGCTTTATAATAGGAGCGGACTCGCTTTTCTACTAATTCCCTACATACCAACCAAACCCTTCCTTGAATCAAATTCCTCTTTTTTGAAAACCACAAATTTCGTACAGACGACGATCCGTCCGTTTCCCGTTCAGATGTTCCGTCGAAATGCACTCCATTTTCGTCTCTGATCCAAGCTTGTTCCGCTTCCGTTTCGAATTCGTCGCAGTCGGTGCCTGATTGCTGTAAAGTAGGTATATTTCTTCGTTTTTCGGCTCTTTCGATTTCGTCTAATGCGACTAGTTTTTGAAAGATTTTTCCTGAAATTTTTATGCTTGATTCTTGTATTTCGTTTCGATTTCTTGCAATGCTACAAGATTTAGGAAGAATATCTGCTCAATTTCGGTTACTGGAGTTTTTTTTCTTTTTTTATGACTGGATTCATACTGTTACCGGAGTAATTTGCTGCTTTGTTAGCTGATCAAATAGTGGTTGTTTGGTTTTTTTTTTTTTTCTCTTCTTTTGTAATAAAGATAGTGATCTGCTTAGGATCTGAATTGAATGAGTATTAGTCTTACGATATTGTTGTAGATTCCGTGCTTTTGCTGATTCTTTTACGTAGATGGATCCGTGAAGTGAGAATTTGTTTTCTTGAGCTATTTGTTGGTGAAAAGCTAGCTTTGAGGTTGTTGATGTCATAATTTCAAATGTACTTTGGATGCATTCCTGGGCAATTATCTGTTTTTCTTGTCTATGTTTTATATCCTAAATCGATTGACGTGACATTAGCTTGGTTATGTTTTGCTTTGAAAGGATTTTTGTCCGTAATCTCTTCAGGTTGCTTTGTTATAGGTTGCAAGATTGAGAATAAGGGAGAAGGCAATTTGGAAGAAAGAAATGTCATTTGGACCTGTGCATGCCCAGAGGTAGAGAGAGATAATGTTAGCAGAGAGTGAGGGTGGGGAGGAATCTCTTCAACGGGATTTTGAGGCTTTGAGCGTGTCAAAACGGCTTGTCAGGAATGTTAGCAAGAAGTTGAGGAAGAAAGAACATAGACACAGGGGTGAGCTTGAGGACGAAGATGATGCCAGAGGAGTTTCTGTGAAATGTCTTACTTTATATGGTAGAGGTGGTGGTTGCAAAGTTGGTGCATACACAAGTGAGGAATTTGGGGATCCATTAGTAAGGAGGAGGTCAAGTGCTAGTGAAGAGGGGAAGCTGTATAAAACAATTTGTGGTGCTGAGGAGAATAATGTGGATTGCCTTTCATATGGGATGAAGGAGAGGTTTTGGAAGAAAAACTACCGAAAGGATTTAGAGCTTGAGGAAAGGAATAGCAGGATGCACATTTTTCTTCCAGATGACATTCTTGAGATGTGTCTGGTGAGGTTACCATTGACTGGTCTAATGAATGCTCGCCTTGTCTGCAAAAGATGGAGATACTTGACTACCACTCCTCGATTTATGCAGATGAGACGGGAAGGTTCTTTTCAGAATCCATGGTTATTTCTGTTTGGTGCTGTTAAAGATGGCTATTGTTCTCGAGAGGTACATGCATTTGATGTGTCTCAACATCAATGGCACAAGATTAATGCTGATATTCTTAAAGGAAGGTTTATGTTCTCTGTTGCTAGCATACAGGATGAAATTTATATTGTTGGAGGTTGTTCAAGCTTGCCCAACTTTGGGAGGGTGGATAGGAGCTCATTCAAGACACACAAAGGTGTATTGGTCTTCAGCCCATTGACAAAGTGTTGGCATAAAGCTGCATCAATGAAGTACCCTAGATCAATGGCTATTTTAGGAATATCTGAAGTCAGTTCAGATTTCTTGGTCATTCAAAGCCATCAAAATCGGCATGACAGGCGGCTCGCTAGATCACGTATTGGTGGTGTGTCAGATGTTTATGAGGATCCTCACAGACTTTCATTGAGACGTCAACACAGAAATGCTTTTGATGAAAATGAATCTTCATTAATGCCCAATGGAAAGTCATACAGGCATATGAGACAAAGAAGTCAACAAACAAACTCAAGGGGTTATAGAAGGTTTGTATTGATTGCTGTTGGAGGTCTTGGATCATGGGATGAGCCACTGGATTCTGGGGAAATCTATGATTCAGTGTCAAACAAATGGAGTGAAATCCAGAAGTTACCCATAGATTTCGGGATTGTTTGTTCTGGTGTTGTTTGTAATGGAATGTTTTATGTTTACTCCGAGACTGATAAGTTGGCAGGATATGACATAGAAAGAGGCTTCTGGATTGCTATTCAGACCTCCCCATTTCCTCCTCGTGTTCATGAGTACCGGCCAAAACTCGTGTCCTGCAATGGCCGCTTGTTCATGCTTTCTGTCTCATGGTGTGAAGGGGATGGTCAGATTGGTCAGAGAAACAAGGCTGTTAGAAAATTGTGGGAGCTTGATCTCATGTATCTTACCTGGGCTGAGGTCTCAGTGCACCCTGATGCCCCAATGGACTGGAATGCCACATATGTCGCTGACAAGAATCTGATATTTGGGGTTGAAATGTGCAAAATATTTGGTCAGGTGTTGGACTTCTTGACTGTATGCCAAGTGTCTGATAGTGGAATGAACTGGAAACATATTTCAAGGAATCGCGTGGCTCATAAACTTGATGCTTCTTCATGCATGACCAAGACAATGACTGTGCTACATCTGTAATGCACCAGTAATTCACTATGCTTCTTTGTGCAGCATTTCATGTAGTTTCTCCACCATTGTTCATAAATTGACCATGTATTTCCTTCCTTGCTTCAGCTGCCCAATAATACATCTTGTTTGTTCTACTCTGTTTCGAGCCATTGTAGCATTCATTTTCAGTGAAAACAAGAAGGAAAAACTTTGTTCCAATTTTGTCCTTCTGGTTCTGTATTTACTTATTGTTCCAGAACAGAATCCTCGATGCCTAGGAGATCCTGCAATTTCTGTTATTCTTGTTCTGTATTTACGTATGGTGCCAAGGAGACCCAGCATGTTGTTCCATTGCAGTCATGGATAATGTTTGGAGCAAAGAAATAATCTGGGAATAGAACATAACAAACTTACCATTAATAGACCGACAAAAAGCCTTCTTAATGCCAAAAGAATATTGGTATCACGTAAAGAAATGGATATTAATGAAAATGACATCATTAAGAACAATGGAACACTCTACAAATGGGAAATTTGTGTACAGCAATATCTACTTGCAGTTTGATGGTTTTGCAACCGCATTCATATACCAACTCTAAAAAATGCATTCATACTGAATCTATCACATGTTCGGAAATATTCCAGAGAAGTTGGGAATCTTGTCGACATGCTTTAGTGCATGCTCAGCTATCTGCCTGGTTCTATAATCACCATGCTGGAAAGCGTCAACAAGCGCTGTACTGACATTTGGATCTCCAGAGACTTCATATGCAATTTCATCAGTCCGTAGAAGTCTCTCAACTACCCAAATTGCTCTTCTCTTCAAGTTCTCTGTTCGATTCTCGAGTAAAACATCAAGTATTGGTCTGATTGCTTCTGCCTCACACAATACCACAACTCCTTGCTGAATGTCAACCCCATCATCTAGCAACGTGGATAGGGCAGCAAGTGCTGCCTCAACCACCTTCTCATTTGTGTGGTCCAGGAGAGCCACCAACTTCCCTACAGTCTGTCCTTCATAAAGACAGAAGCTCTCTCTTAGTGAACAAGTTCCTCGGTGGATCTTGCACAATCCTGTTATAACTGTCGGTTTGCTGTAACATGGAAAGATAGAGGCACAAAAACCCGGCATTGGCAAGTCTGGCAATTTGGTCAAGTTTTTGGACTCCAGTGATAAGTTCTCTAGTGCTGTGGCAGAAGCCATTTGCACATTGTCAAGTCCATTGGCCTGAAGCAAATCAATAAATAATTGAGCAAGATTGTGCTCACGGCAAAGGGCAATTGCATCAGGTTCATCTGCCAAGGCAAATGTCACCCGAGCTAGAGCATGCACAAGTCCTTCTAGAAATGGTGTCACGAAGCGGGTGCCCCTAGGCACTCCTTGTCGGATTCTGACTACTTGAGAGATGATCAACTGAAATGCACCTTCATCTAGCATTTGTCGTGTGAGTCCCAAATCCCTCTCTGGGAGTTCAGCTAAAAGGCCAGCAGCTGCTGACTGCTCTTCACTTATTGCAGTAATTTCAGATATGACTTTGATTAGGCTGCCAAGCTGACCAACTGTTCCACGTAGGGCATCTGCTAATTCCTGACCCATGTATGGAGAGAGGTTCTGGAGAAGTTTTAGAGATGAAACACGCAAGTCTTTCTGGGGAGCCTCAATAAACTGAACCAAACTGATAGTAGCACCTGAGCTTTTAATTGCAGCAACAACATTGTGAACTGTTGTCTCTGAACTAGTGAGTCCAACTAGAACTTGAAGAAGTTTGCACTCAATTGCTGGACCAGTATTGCTGATTAGATGCAGTAAGTTATGGACGATATCTTCAGAAACTAGAGTCTGGTGGTCAGATCCAACAGGAATGGAATCTACATCATAGCCCGAGTTTACAACATTTGCAAGAATTGTTGCAGAGATCTCTTTCAGTCGCATGGGAAGCTGATTGGCACCAACAGTAAATAGGTCCTTGACAAGAGGGGGAACTATTCCTGCCTCAATTAACACCTTAGAGCTTGCCTCATATGATGAGATTTGGTTAAGAGCTTTAAGAGCAACTTCTCTGCATTCCACATTGCCGCTTTTCATGATACTGATAAGGGATGCACCTGCTGTTCTTGCTACATGGACTTTCACATCATTATTTAGAACCAGCTCACCAAGGTATGAAGCCATAGAAAGCTTTGTTTCTGGTGTGCCTGCAAAAGTCCCATTTTATTTACATTAACCAGACAGGAATATTACACATTTCATGATAAAAAGGAAACATTGTCAAACATCAAGAATATCCAGGTTAGTGTAAACCAATATCGTACTGCCAACCTAGTCCTAATGTGAGCTGCAAAAACCTAACAACTAAGCAAACCTTAAAATAAGTTCAAATATGCTAAAAATCAATTCAAAAATTATTTTGCATCTGAATCCAAGACACAGTTTAATGCAAGAATTACCTGAACTCTAGATGTCAGGAGCAGAACAGATACATCCACAACTTAATAAGACAAAAAAAGAAAAAGATTTCCTGATAAGCAGATAAGAAGGTCTATTTCTGGAGTAACCAGTAAAGAAAAACTACCAAGCATCTTGGATACAGAGCCATGAAGGTAAAAGAAAAGGTCATGAAGCACAAACTTTTATGGCTTCCTAAAATGATCAACTTCAGTGATTATCATCAATATTAGCAGGCATAAATGACTGTTATCCGCTTGGAAAGATTCCCCATGAAATTGAGGACCTAAAGGAAAATCGACAAATAGCACACTCACAAGCACACATGCAGGAAGTTTTTAAATGTGAAACATGTAAAATTTATTGCAAATTAAATTAAAAGAAAAATTAACACACACACACACACACACTCTCATGATTGCAGCCATAAAATCATGAAAGGGAACAAATATGCTTGCAATGAGATTAGAAAAAGCACAAAAGTATTAAGGAAAGCAAGAGCACCTTCAAGGATTAACTTCAAAAGCGGCTGCAGTCTACCATTTTCAGCCATCTGTCGGACATTGTTTTCAAACTTCTCCAAGTTTTCCAGTGTCATATCAGCCTTCTCAACAGTCAAAACATTCTCTGACTTGCTGCTTGTCATTCCTACCAATATAAGAATGGCTCCATTAATTGAACCAATCTTCTCGCACAAGGCTTCAGATTTGGAAAGCTCATATAGCAAAAAGACAGCCTCCTCCCTCTCCTTAGATAGTTCATGTGACAAGAACTTAACTATTGTACGAACAGTGTCCCCCTCACCCAATATTTCCTGAAAAACAATGAATAACATACAAAAATCATAATCTGGATGCATGCATAGCAGTGATAGCAGAAAACCCCACAGAAAAACTGCAAACCCATAACAACCTTATTATCATCATCGTCCTCCACTACTATCCGAAGAGTCTCCAATGCTCTACACCGAACTTGACGGCTGCCGCTCTTTAACAAATCAACAATCTTGGGTATAAGCTCAGAATTGCGTACGACATGCTTATTTGATCGGCTCTTTTGGCAAATATGCTGAATATACTTCAGGGCCTGGAGAACATCACTTTCTGAACTGCCCATATTTAATGATCTATGAGCCATATCCAGTTGAGCAGCTTCATTCCTAGCAGTCCACTCCTCAATGGTGTTCCGCAAAGCCATACTTGGGTTCAGATCCATACTTTTTAGTTCTTTAAGTGTCAATGGGCATACAGGCTTCCTTCCACTCTCTTTACATTCCTTGAACCATTTTTCAATTGCTTCACGTTCAAATGTTTGTCCATTTTCGAGGGTCACAGGGTCACGCATAACTTGCTTTGTCAAAGGGCAAACAAATGCATCATAAATGGGCTCTATGTGCAGTCTCTCAAAAAGATAACTATCATCCGATTGGCTTCCCTGGTCAAAACTTCCATCCCAGCTCCCAGCCATCTCACCTAATTTACTCACTACCAGAAAAAGTAAAACTGCACAATTTGTAAACAGGCACTTCAATACTTAGTGACTAGAGTCTGGAGCAGTTAAAAATAGATATGCTTTCACTTGAAAATTAAGAAGCAACAATAATTAAGAAATTGGGAAATTAGGGAAAATCAAGTACCAAAGAAAACTGAGAACAACCAAAATAAAAGCTTCTCATTAATTCAATCTAAAAATCAGAATCTACACTGCTCCAAATTGGAGTAAAATTATGGATTCCAATGCCAATAAGACAATTGAAAATCGAACCAAATCAAGTAATCCTAATATTTCTAAATTTAGCCAATTCAGCCAATTACAAAATCAAATTCTCATCTCTAGAATTCACCACAAACAAAAAATAAATAAATAAATAACCCGAACACAAGAGCAAGAAATAAGAACCCAAACCTTTTTTTTTTTTTAACTAGGGAGAAATGAAGGACCTTCGAGCAAACCCTAGGCTGAAGATTCCCAAAACAGGGCTTGTTTGATCATTGAAGCTCTCCCTGAAAATACCCTCCTTTCCTTTGGTGGAAAAGATCGAATCTTTAGCTAAAGGGTAAATCAGAATTAGGGTTCTTGTTATTGGATTGAAGAATAGTAATATGAAGTGGCGAGAAATGAGAAGAAGAAAGGAGTAAAGAAGACTACAGGCAGAGCGGCCAAACCGAACATGAAAAATAGGTTTTTTTTTGTTTTGAAGAAATATATTTAGTTTAGTATATTGAATTCAGGTACTATTTTTTTACTAATATAACAAAAAGAGAAAAGGTTGACCCGAGATGCAGAGTCCGCGGAAGCTCCAAATCGTCACCCATGATTCAACCTCCGGTGACCCCACCACGCCATGGGGTATCCCTTCACCTCCACCTACCTGGAAACAACCGGTAAAATAAGGGAGAAGAATGGCCGGGGGGAAAACCAAAACGCATCGTTTGGAAATTTGATACTCGATAAACGGTAATACCATAATTATTACTAGAGTTCGTTGGAATATTAAATATATTTTTTATTATAAATTTATATTAAAAAGGTAAAAATTAAATTTTAGTTAAATATATTTATTTAACATTTATATTAAAATTAATATTAATTTTTATATTTTTTATATATATTGATAATAAAAAAATTCTCTTAAAGCATAAAGTAAAAACACTCTAATTATTATACTTACAACATTAAATAAAATTACAAGTTTATAATTATAACATATTATTAAATAAATATAAGATAATATTAAATATGTAAATATATATAATATTAAATTTGAAATAAAAATAAACAATTATATAATAAATGTGAAAATCAACTTATATATTATATTTATATAAAATTTTAATTCTTTATTTTTTATTTTTTATTTTAATAATTAAAATTTATGTATATTTGTTAAAAATAATTTTTATTAAAAATTATAATAAATATAAATAATTAAAATTTTATATATAAATAAATTTCACTTTTTATAATAAAATAACATGTTATAAAACTTGTAATTTTTGCAAGAAAAATGAGGGTAATCACAAAACGTTGCATAATTTTTAATTTTTTTAAACAGTTAATTTTTTTGAATAGATTATAATTTTTACAGAAAAAGGTTTGAATTTTAACCTTAAAATTGAATAATGTACCTTATAATATCGTATAATTATTTATTCATGAGATTTAAGTGTTTTTAGATAGTTATAATTGAAATGTAAAAAAAAAAAAGAGTTATAATTTAACAATATTATAATATATATTTTTTTTAACAAATTTACAAAAAGTGAGGTTTAAATTGTTATGAAAAAAAAAACTTAAAATGTGATTTGACGTTACTAAGCAGAATGTCTTAGTGCAACAATATTATAATATAAACTTTAATTATTATTAACATATTATGTAGATTTACTAACTCACTTACGAAAGCTGATGCACAAAAACGCTGTATGTTTTGATTCCATTAATGGGAAAAGAGGGAAGAAAAATGGGAAAAGAATGCTGCAGCCTTGAATTGAATTGAAACAAAAAAAATTCAAACATTAAATGAAGTCAAAACTCGTGAATTCGACGGGGTACAAGTTACTGTACAAGCAAAGCAGGATGACCTACGGCCGGATGTAAAGTTCGTATTCAATGAGTTTTTACAACTTTAGTAAATGGTCGTGCATGTTGTTTGGGTAAAGCCAGAGCCAGGAGACAATAAATAGATTAAAGGCTAACACGACAAGACAACACCAGAACCTTCGCTGGTTACAGAAAATTTCAGAGAAGGGAAGAATATTCGTCCACAAGGACATGATTTCTTACTGTTAGTAGTGAATTTTATTTTATTGAAAGAGTTTTTTTTTTAAATAAAAGATTATTGTAAGCAAAATTTAAAAAATATTACAGAGAAAGTTTGGTAAATTTTGTTTTAATAAGATATTAGATGTTAATATTTTAATTTTATTATTATTTCTAGAGAAATAAAATGCATTATATTTTTTAATTAACCATAAGTAAAAGTGAAAAGTGAAAAAATAAATTATAACTATTATAATAAATAAATTTATTAGTAATCATAATTGAT